CATAAAGTCTATGAATAGAATATATTACTTTGGACTAAATTCATTCCCTATACAAAGAGCTTCTAAAAGATACACTGTGTTGTCATATGAAGGATCTCTAATTATTGCAGTAAGGCTACATTTGTAGATTTTGCCTAATCTAAAATTAAAACCATAAAGCACTGCTGGAATTATTTTTAAAAAGTAATTGAAGCCCTCTTCAGCACAGTTAATTCAGATTCTCCTCATTTTACCTCTCTAGTTCATAAGGTATCTTTTTTCATGTGTTTTCAGATTGAAGTTCACACACATCAAAAAAATAGGATGATGATCAGGGGTTCAATATTCAATACACATTCATTACTATCTGTCATTATTGTCATTGTCGCTATAATAATTGCACATTGTAAAAAGAATGGAGGCTTTTCTGCAGGAATTATTCACGTGTATTACTTTCTAGGAGTAATTGAATAGTTGACATTGCGTTTATATCAAAATAAAATATGTGATGGGTTTTCTCATTTGTATTATTCTCAAGCAATAAGAAATGTAAAGTAATCACTATTAGGTCCCTTTATTTGGATCCAGAGGGTGTCACAGTTTTATGTAATGTCCAAATGTACATTATTTTCTTATAATAACTATGGAAACTTTCTTATCTCTGGGTAAAATGGGGCTTTATCTAGCACATTGAAAGTCAGTGGAGGAATGGTAAGAAAACCACGCCAATGTGTTTTGTTATTTTGTGTGCTCTTTCTTCTAACCCAGGCATCTTCTCACTTGCTTTATCCTACATTTTTATTTCTGTTTGGCTAACCGTCACAAAATAGAGTTTAAAACTATTTTTACAATGAAATAGTATTGACACTGGGTTGTAAAATTGAGTAATACAAGCTTTAAAGAAAGAGTAGCCTAAGTAAAATGCATAACAAATAGAATGAATGATGATACAAATATAATCATGTAAAGGATTTGGAATGTGTCTTCACTCACTAAGGAGGCCATATATAATGGACTCCGAGCACTGCCCCTTCATAGAAAGCTTGCAGCCTAGAAGGTGGATGGGATTTCCTTTTCCTCCTGGGAATTCTTTACATTCCCTGTGGAGACCTGGATGGCATAGGGATTTGTCTTAGTTAGGTGGAGTCTTTCATTGCTTGCTATGTTAGCTAGCCCTTGAATCATGTCATTTTTGGCAGAGTGGATGTTATTACCATTTGCCAACTGTTCAGTGGCTTACACATTAGTAGTTTCTGTTCCATTTCTTTTTTGTTAGTTTGTTTTTTGAGAGGTTTTTGGTATAGGGTGCATGCACTCGCCAGAAAGACAGAGAGAGACAAAGAGACAGAAAGCGAGAAATCACTCCCCAGGGGGGATGGCCACGCCAAAATCCCTTCTCCTCCACTCTCCTCTCAGGATCTTGGGCACACATGCACATGCGCCCAGTGTGAGTTTAAGCCACAGGATCCGGGACTTGACTACATGGGAGTCCAGTGACATAGCTATTACACTAACTGCTGGTCCCGTCTGTTCCATTTCTTAAAGGACAGATGGCAATGGCTGGTTCTTAAAGCAAAAAGGGCAGGGACTAGCAGATGGCGTAATGCGTATGTTGTTGGACTCCCAAGTAGTTGACCACAGTTCAAGTGCCGGACCTGGTGGCTTAAAACTCACACTAGGTTCATGTGTGTGCATGCCCAATATCCCAAGAGAAGAAAATGGAGAAAGGACTATGGCATGGCCATTCCCCCTAGGGGAGTAATTTCTCACTTTCTGTCTCTCTCTTTCTCTCCAGCAAGTGCACACACTCTATAATAAGTATCTCTCTCTTTAAAAAAAGGGGGGGGGCAGGGGACAGCAGATGGTATAATGGCTACATTGCTGGACTCGCATGTAGTCGACTGTGGTTTGAGTCTTGGACCTGGTGGCTTAAACTCACGCTGGGCGCATGTGTGTGGATGCCCAAGATCCCAAGAGGAGAAAGGAGGAGAAGGGATTGCAGAATGGCCATTCCCACCCCCCAGGATGATTTCTTGCTTTCTGTCTCTCTCTCTCTCCTATCTCTCTGTCTCTCTCTGTCTGTCACACCCTATAGCAAAAACAAACAAACTATAGCAAAAACCTCTCAAAAAAAAAAAAAAAAGGAGGTGGGGGGAATAATGTAGATTCTAGATCCTCTCCTCATTTACAGAGATGGTCCATTTAAATAGTGTGGAAAACCACCAGTGAGACTGATCCTGGGAAGCTGGTCTAATCAATAATTGAAATGACCTTGCAAACATATGTAAACATACTTGAACCAGACATTTACCTCCCTCCCTTTGCCATTCATTAAACACATTTTAAAAACAGTGTTTGTATTTCTGTATTAAAACAGAAATTTTTAAAAACCCAGAAATGTAATTATTATGTTGCTTTTGCTACAACCACCACTTCCATGAGTCCTTTTTTCAGTGTCTATCTTATTACTATTGATCTACCTGTCCCACCTGCAGTCTAGCAACACATAGACAGGTAATATTGGGACAGCCACAGAGTCCTGGCTTCCTGTAGAGCAGGTTTATCTATATGTGGTAACTTGTAGCAACCTAATATGATTATTTCATCTTGACTTCTCTCTCTCTCTTTTATTCTTTTTTTTTTTTTTTTTTTTTTTTTTTTTTTTCTTAGGGGCCCTTCTTTTTTCAAGGGGGGGGGGGGGGGAAAGAGATAAATCACTCCCCAGGAGGATGGCCACACCACAATCGTTTCTACTCCATTCTCTCTTGGGATTTTGGGCTTGCACACACATGTACCTGGTGTGATTTCAAGCCCCAGATTTGGGGCACGAACCTCAGCCAGCCATGTGGAAGTCCAGTGCCTTAACCACCACACCATCTGCTGGCCCTAACTCCTTTCCATTTTTATGATTAGTTACTAATTTTTTTTTCTATTAGCAAGAGAGACAGAGAGAGAGAGAGAGAGAGAGAGAAACAGCTCCTCCAACAAGGTCTTTACACCAGAAGCTATCTCCAGCCTTCAGCTGGTCCCAGATCATGGTCACACTCATGCCTGGTTTACTCCGTGGAGATCTGGATGCAAACCCAGAACATTTTGATGTGGGTCAACTGCTCAGAAAATCACATTATACCATTGTACCACCCTCTGGCCCCTTGACTTGTCTTTACACAGAGTAGTTGATTATTTGTACTATAAACAACTGTAAAAAATAAAAATGACCATACATGAGATCTGAAACCATGAATCTTAAGAGCGTATATGGCATGTGAATTGTGAACAGATAAGAAGAGATACTTCCTGCAGTGGTTTTCCTTAACGCCTGTCACAAGACCACGCCATGCACTGGAATACTCAAAGTACAGAGTTCTTTGCTAATGCACTTTGTTTGTCAACTAGCAGTCTATATGGGTACATTTCAAATGTCCATTAAATTCAAAGAAGTTGGGTTTGTCTGCTTTTCTTTTCGCTCAGCTATATCCACAGGGTAGCACATTAACACTGCAAGCAGCTACTGGATTCCTCTGTTAAGTACAGCACCCTCTACTGATGAATCTCTAACACAGGCATTTCTCCAGGAGGTGTTTTTCCTACTGAGGCAGACAGGATGCTCTCAATGGCACAAGAGTTTCATTATAGGAATTCTCTTGTTCCCTTCCTTCACATGGAAATGTCATTAACGGTATTAAGTTAACTCTCCCAACGTTAGGTTCTTAACCAACAAACAAAGCTTCTCTGCAATGGCATATCTTGCCAAGTGTCCTTGAATCAGAATGGGCTGAATAGGCCATAACAGATTCAGAGCCACACTGTGAGTTGTGATCATATGGAAGAGGAATCTTTGTGTATTTATTGACTTTTTCCTTCAACCATGGTTGTTCCTTTTCTTCCACCACCACCTTGAGCCTTTCAGGTAAATAAAAAGTTCAATTATATGTAAAGCGACTGTTAAATCAGCAGGCCCCTTGTGGGGGTCTGGGCCTTCCCTCCCTGCGCCAATCGCAAGTGTGCTCAATCCATTACTGTTCCTGAGGACTGTACATCCATCAGGTCGAGTGTGCCGGCCAGGGTGCATCTTATAGCTTTTACTGCATATGAGACGTTGCAGGCCTGTTCTCAGGAACTGCCAGGCAGACTGGGAATCACAGTCACGGTTAATAGCAGCGAATTGCCAGCTCTTGATGGGTGGGTAGTCACTCCTTTCAGTGGTTGCCCCCTGGGGGAGAAGGTAGAAAAACAGAGGGAGGGAATTAGAGTGACTTTGCACAGTTGAGCAGGTTCATGCCGCTGGATCAGTGGCAAGCATTGGCAGGCTCCACTCTGGGGAGGCTCACAACAACATCACAGTCTCATTTTTACCAATTGGTGCTGCTGTATCGCCAGTGGTGCACAGGGGGAGAGCAGAGGGGAGGGTGAGCTGGAGTGGAGAGAGAGGATGAAGGCAGAAGTCTAAGCTAAATTAAACAAACAAACAAAATTCACGTTCAAACTGGTGAACCCACCCACCCCAGTTACCCCTGTGCTACTAATTGTACCGAACTGATATCTAAAGTTCCCAGGGTGATTAAAGAGTTGGCTCACAAACTCTGCATAACCTTAATTTTTTCAAGGTTCTTTGAGTGGAGAATGGCTTATAATAATGATTTTGACTAATACGATTTTTGACATGCAACTTTAATGCTTAACCTTAGTACAACTCCAGAGCATTTCATGTGTACTCAGCTGTAAAGAGTGATGATTTAAAGGGATAATATAAGAAAAAGGTCGTTCTAGAATGAACCTCTAACAAATTGCATAAAGGGAGCTTTATTATTCCATGAGTATGGGGATGTGCAGCTCTTCTGATCATTTTGCTGCTGGTTCAAAAAAAAATTGTTGAGACATGAATGGGAGAAGAAACAGGAAAAAATGAAATAGAAATCTGCAAGCAAGGAACATTCTTTTGATGGTTATGATTTTGTTGCCACTAAAAAAGACTCTACAATAATGTGGTTATCCATCTCCTCTTTTTGTTTTGGGTGAAGAATTCGCTCTAACAAGAAAATGCTGTTATTGGTTGGAGGGTTGCCTCCTGGACCGGACCGTCTCCCCAGCAATTTGGTTCAGTATTACGACGATGAAAAAAAGACTTGGAAAATACTCACAAGTGAGTGCACTTATTTATTTATTTACTCACCTATTTATTTCAGGTTAGAGCTGTCTTGATGAATTCGAAAACGTGGTTAATCAAATTAGACATGTTATTGATTTGCTTCCCTTTGGAGGTTTGTTTATCTATCACAGGGGATTTTGAGTAAAAGAGTAAATGAACATTGCAAAGGTGGCCAATTTGGTAGTCTGAATAGACCTAAATGAAAACTGGCCTAAAATCACTGAGCTGGTTTCTGTTTCTGTGTGTGCCCACATGAAGGGGAGGCTGAGGGAGCAAAGATCTGCAAAAATTTTTCAGTTATTATTTTTGCTGATTGGAAAGTGAAGGGTTGGTTAGTAGCACGAGTCCATATTCTCACATCCAAATGGTGGTTTAGTTCATCGTCTCTGTAACTGACACTCACTTTACTTTTTAGGCGTTGGTGCTCATTAATCTTTAGGCTGTGGAAAGAGGTCTTTGCAGAAACGCCCCCTTGTACTGCTGTGCCATTTAGACGGACCCGACCGCAATAGCTGTGGCCTCTCCCAGTGCGTTAAATTGCGCTCGGAAACTTCTACCCCGGATTCTCCTCCTCCCCTTCTTGAAGGGTGATTGTGTTTTACAGCAAACCTCTTGCCTTGGGCGCTGAGATTTGGAACTTATTGTTATATCGGTTATGATTCCCAATCTGACTCAGTCATGGAATCAAAAATCATCGTTTCTTGAGCATGGCAGGCTGTGTGCTTCAGTCCCCTCGTGGGCACAGTGGCTGCACTGGTCAATAAAACTAAATTTTAACTGTCAAAATTGCCCAGAGCTGTATAGATAAAATAATAAATGAGTAATTTTGATCCATAAATCAAAGCCATACGTTTAAAACCAGCCAAAGTGAAAGTTAGATTTTCTTCTTGCATGTGTCTTTCCATGCAGTTACATTTTTTATCAGATTTTTAGAAATGATTTCCTTTTCTCTTCTTGAAGGTCCTTTAAAACAATAGAAACAGGACAACCGTTTGCCCATACGAGCAGACGAGGAGCAAAGACATGTGAGGTGGTGCTTGAAATAATACGTTTTGGAGCTGGCTTACCCCAGTGCAACCTGCAGTAGCACTGTCCAGGAGCTGCGACGAGACAGCTCCCTGGACACCAATACACTACAGTTGTAGTAAGGAAGTGGTGGAATAGTAACAGTGAGATAAGGAGAAGGAAGGAAGGATGCCTTAAAATGGTTTTTATTCTCTGTACTAAAATGCCAATAATAGTGATTTAAACATCTAAGTGAGTGGTCATGCTGTACTTTAAAGAGTCATCAGAAACTGAAGTTAAAGTAAAACCAAAGAATCATTTCATGCTGTACTTTAAAGAATTATCAAAACTGAAGTTAAAGTAAAACCAAAGAATCATTTTTTTGGACACTTGATCAATAGAAAAAGTCTACACAGAATGAGACACAGAGACTAGGAGGGAGAGAGAGAAAAGCAGGAAAACAAAAGATTCTCAAAGACAACAAAGAAACAGGAAAAGAGGCAGGGAGATTTAGCTCAATTCAACCAGTAAATGCTATTCACTCCTAAATCCACCTGTTTTCTCCCAAATACACCAAACTAGGTCAAGTTTGCTACTTCTTTGAAGTCCTTCAGTAATGATTTTAAAAAAATTAACATAGTAAAGGTAAAAAGATTAATTAAAGCACTGTGAACAATTCCTCAGAAAGTCTTATGTTCATTTTAAACCTTGTTCAGAGAAAGGGTGACCATTAAACTTCCTGTCCAAACAATATGACACTTTTAAACATGAAAGGGAATTCTATTAATTATGCCAAGACAACAGATAAAGACTGGAATATAGTGGTCACCCTGCTGAAAGTTTTCACGTTGCCTGATTTAACCCCTTCCTTTGAGGGATGTAGCAAGAAAACATGAACTTTGAATCAGACAGACCTGGATTCAAACCTGGACCTAGGACCTCGAGCAAGTCAGGGATATTTTGAGTCGTGGTTTCTTCATTTTGTCAGAGCCACTGGAATTTGTTTTTCGAATAAAATTGTGTTTCTAAATCATCTAACACATAGCACACACTCAGTAAATTACAGGGCCTGGTGCTCTAATTGCAGCACTAGTACTAGGAGGGTACCTCTACTTCTGAGAGACACCAGGCTAAGGGGAGACAAGTTATCTGCAATGACACAACCCGTCAACCCACTGCTCTAGGATAGGGAGCCATTTCCTACAGTTTTATGTGTTGATGTTATAATTTATAGACTAAAAAGTAAAGAAAAATGGGCATCTGCTGACTCAGTTTATCAGGTTTGAGATGAAAGGAAATAAAGAAATTAAGTATAGGAAAGTTCTTATCATGGGAACATCTTAATATTTAAAGATCTTGAACCCTTTTTCTATGCTCAGACGTACTCACCACTTGGAAATAAATGTCTGTTCTATTTACACTCTTTATTTCACTGGGACTCATACTATAAAAAAATAGAGTATTCTCTGGCAGGCTGTGACTACATGGTCCCAAGAGAAGCAATATTTTTCACATTTATTGAAAACTTCACATTTATTGAAAATTATCTAGCTCATCTGGATAATTTCTGCTGCCTGTTTGTATTTTTTTTAAAAATTAAGAATCTTATTTGGTAAAACTGAGTAAAGAAATTAGGTAACTGAGAGATTTCCATACTATTCAAGCCACCTAGTAATAAATGAAGAAATATTTCTCATTGGAATAAGGAACTATCCAATGAAACATCAGGGATTTCAGACCTTCCCATCGCCATTCTTCTGCTCCAGAAGGAGCGCTCAGCTAATTTGTCAGGGAGGTAAGGATGACAGTTAATGGTAGGTGGTAATCTCCTGGTTTGGGGTCTGCTTATTTAGTGAATGACTGTGTGCATACAAACGAACAAATTAACTAACAAAAACCTAAAACCCGAAGTGAGCTGGAGCTTTCTAATCTTCCCATTCTTGGCCTATTTATCCTGAGCACACATTTCTCAGTCTGTCTCACAGACATGCTCCTCTTAGAAAGATAGCATTCCACAGTCGGAAACATGTATTCCCACTTACGGGAGCTATTCTACTTCCACACATTACATGTAACAAAGAAGAATGGTATGCCACAACTGTCTTTAGATTTTGTCCTGTTATGCTGTTTATATTTCAGAAACACAGTACAAGTGCTACTCTTAAGTAATAAATTGAATAGAGTGGACAGGAGTTGAAATGAAAAAGTGGATCTACGGGGACCAGCAGGTGGCGTGGTGGCTAAGGCGCCAGACACTCCCACATGCCTGACTAGGGTTTAAGTCCCAGACTCGGTAGCTTGCTTTTTCACTTTCTTTCTCTCTCTTTCTATCTCTCTCTCTCTCTGTCTGTCTCTCTTTGATCAAATTAAAATAAATAAATGATTAAATAAAATAAAAATAAATAATTCTTAAAAAAAGTATCAGACAGAAAGACATTTTTAAAAAAAAAGAAAAAAGAAAAAGTCGATCTGTGTAATATAAGAAAGACAAAATTCAAATAGTCAGCCAATCAGTGGTTTGTTCTACCCAAACAGCAAAGGAAATAATTATTCTCACTGAGAAGACTGTTTTGGTAATATGCTAAAAGCACAGACTGTATTTTCTGAAAGAATTATTTTATTTAACTTTATTTATTTATTTTAGTTTGACCAGAGAGACAGAGTAAGAGAGAGAGAGAGAAAGTGAAAGTGAGATAGCAAGCCGCCAGGCCCACAGTGGGCCATGTGGGAGTCAAGCGTCCTTAACCACCATGCCACCTGCTGGCCCCCAGACTGCTTTTCTTGCATTTCTCCCTCCTGCATGCAGTCTCCCATTTCATTCTTAACTTATTAGGAAGCAGTACAGGAGGCATGAATACTAAAATGGCCAATGCAAAAAAAAAAAAGAAAGAAAGAAAGAAATGATGCCTCCTGCACTGTGCAGGCCCTAAACCCTTGGTGCAAAGATCAAGCAAAACAATTCCAGTGACTACAAAGTACTCTTTGTAATAGATTTTCTACATATCAAAGTTTTTGTCAAGCCCACACGTGGAAGCACCTCTCCAAGGTCCAGCATTGAGAGCTCTGGGTTCCATTTGTATTCCCCATAAGTCAATTTCTTTCTGATGGATAAAAGTATTTATTTCCCAGGAATTGGCTTCTTTTTCTCTAAGTTTCAGATACGAGATTCTACGTATTAGGTGCTTCCTTGTTGTTTTCTATGAGCAATGACAGGAAAAAAAAATATAGAAATATAGATTTCTCTTCCAAGTGCCAATGATGACTTCTCTGATAATATTAGAATGAAAATCACAAAGCTAAGTTAGAAAAGCCCGTGCCTTCTTTTCATCACTCTAAACTTCCTTTGTTAAAGGTAGAGGAAATAAATGCCTTTTGTTCCTCCTCTTCCTGTCAGTTAATTTGCAGTTCTTTCCTCAATTCGGTTCTGCAGGGAGCTTTGGGGGTCTTTTATTTATCAGTCATAGAGAATAAAGGGAACTGCTCTGTAGTGGTTTTCTAGGTTGTCTTTTCTGGTCTCAGGAGGACATTTACCTTGATCTCATCCATGCAGGCAGGTTCTCTTGGCTAGTGGTCAGCAAGTCATGTGATGGTTAGGTGCTGGACTCCCACAGGGTCAATTGCAATTTGAGTCCTGGACCTGGTGGCCTGAAACTCATGCCAGGCACGTGTGCATATTTACTCAAAATCCTGAGAGAATGGAGGAGAAGGACTGCGGCATGGCCATACCCCCAGGAGGTGATTTCTCACTCTCCCTCGCTTTATTTTTCTGTCTCTCTCTCTCTCTAGCAAGTGCATGAGCCCTATGGAAAAAACTTTAATATATATATATAAAGTATACACATACACACACATATATATACTTCAGGTGTTTAGTATATTTGTATATATACTTTAGGTTTTTAGTATTTTATATACACATGTGTGTATGTATACATATGTATATTTCACACATATGTGTGTGCGCGTCCTATACATTTTAAAGGAATAGT